TCACTTAACAAGCACATACTGTTTGTTCTCAGAAAGACAGCTTTTGAGTTTAGAAGAGTTGAAATATTCATTTCTGAAAACAGCTTGTCCTCTAGTGTTTTAATAGTTCAGTTAAAGTATGTGTGGGAGTCATAGGATGAGTACAGTGGAAATACTCCAACTTTTCCAGTGACCTTATTTGGTGCGTGATAAGAAATTGTCCAATGTGCAAGCAAAATCAAAATTCTGCCAAGCTGTCTGAATAAAGATTAATAAACAGTACCCACGATCTCCAAATATCTAATTATTGAGGCAAAAATAAGTTACATTGAGAAGCAGAAAAAGTCGAACACAATAAGATTTAATACTGCTATTATTAAAAGTAAAACTATTATAAGATTGTTATATACATTAAATGTATATAGAGTCTACGGAGTTTATATAGGAATACTATAAAGCACTGTGGTAAGACTGGGAGCTCAGATCTCAATATTGCCAGATTTGGTTCCTCAATTCACTAGGGTCAGGGGGCAACTTAACTTCTGTAAGCCTGTTTCCTCATCTTTAATACTGGAATAATAATGGTATTTACCTCTTAATATTACTGTAGATAGTAAAATGACATAGTACTGAAAGCACTAAATACTAATTTTATCCGAATAGCTAAAACATTATATAAAATACTTTTCAGGATCAATTTAGGTAGAGAGGACTCAATATAAACTGGATCACGTTTAGGTATCATACTGGTCATACTGTCAGCAGTTCTTGGAGAAGAATATCATGCTTAGTAAAGTGGAGGGTCAGAGAAAAAGGAGAAGACCCTCAAAGAGATTGATTGATATAGTAACTGCAATGATGGGCTCAAGCTTGGCAAGGATTGTGAGGATGACGCAGGACTGGGCAGCGTTTTGTTCTGTTCTACAGAGGGTTGCTATGAGTAGAAACTGACTTGATGGTACCTAATAACAAAAACATCAGAAATTAGAGAATACTAAAGTTTATCTAGCTAACTACCTTATTTTAGAAGTGAGTAAACTAATAAATGTTGCAATCTTCATTCTGATTAATTTTTTCTAATAATATCTTGTTTACTTTATCAAAAAAATATTAGCTGAAACATTCAAATGTTTACAGAAACAGTATGGGCCCAAACACATCTTAAGAAAACAATAAGATGCAAATGAAACAAAATAACAATTTCTCTTTAGAAATTTCAAAATGTTGTCTTTAATAAATTATGCTTTATAGATATTAAAGTCCTAATTTTTACCTTTACATTAATTTTTTAATTCTTCAACAGTTTTATTGAGATATAATTGAAATAACATGGTGTGCAATTCAATGGTTTTACTATGTTCCCAGAGTTGTGAAACTGTCATCACAAAATGAAACCCCAAGCCCATGAGCGCACAGTGCCCATTTCTCCCACCCCCTATGCAATACCCAGCCATTGCCAACCACTAATCTGCTCTCTTTTTCTATAGATTTGCCTATTTTGGACATTTCATATAAATGATATTATATAATATACTGTCTTTTGTGATTAGTTTCTTTCACTTAGCATAATGTTTTCAAGGTTCAGCCATGTTGTAGCATGTATCAGTGTTCATTCCTTTGTATTGTTCAATATTTATGATACATGATTATACTATCTTTTATTTATTTCCCTATTTATTGATAGATATTTGGGTTTTTTTTTTCCCCAAATATTTGGTTATTATGAATAATGCTCCTATGTACAAGTTTTTGTGTGGATATATGTTTTTATTTTTCTTCAGTATATACCTAAGAGTGGAACTACTGGGTTATAAGATGACTCTATGTTTAAGACTGAGGAATTGCTAAAGTGTTTTTCAAAGCACTACACCATTTTACATTCCCACCATGTATGATGCTTACAGTTTCACCAAATTCTAACATGTGTTTTATTCTATTTTTTTTTTAATTGTTACAGCCACCTTAGTGAGTATGATGTGGTATCTCATTGTGGTTTTCATTTGCATATCTCTTATGGATAATGTTATTGAGTTTATTGGTCATTTATCTATCTTTGAAAAAATCAATTCAGGTCCTTTGTTCATTTTTAAATTGGGTTATTAATTGTTTCATTTTTGAGTTCCCATTGCTCTTTATATATTCTGGAAATAATTCCCTTTATCAGATAAATGATTTTGTAAATATTTTTTCCTATTCTATACATTGTTACTTTCACATTATAAACCAACTCTTTATTAGCTGATTGATTCAATAGTAGTAAGATAATAACTATAATAATATGCTAAATCTTACTTCAGCAAAAAAAAATAGAATTATAAAAAATAAAATTTGGGCAGATTTTGGCTATCTGTCGTTGTTGTTGTTATGTGCCGTCGAGTCGGACCCGGCTCATTGCTATCTATATATATCTAAATCAGGAATATATGTTAGAACTAAGGTGGAAATAACTACTTGTCTTCTCCAGCAAGATAATTAGCTGTGAATGATCTCAGTGAAAGTAATCAATCATTAACTGATTTTACCATATCATTATTTCAATAATTCATTTAATTGTACAAATAATGTGGTAGATAAACATAATGTCATTGTTATGGATTGAATTGTGACCACCCCTCCCTGCCCCCAAATATGTGTTGAAGTCCCAGTCCCTGCATCTGTAAATTTGACTCTGGTTTGAAGTAGGTTTTTCTTTTGTTATGCTGATGGGGTCATATTAGCAGAGAGTGGGTCCTAAACCTAATCACTTCTAAGTGATAACTTATATAAAGAGCAGGTTAGATAGACACACACACAAAGGGAAGATGGGAGACAAAGACAGACACATCTATAAGGTCTGGAATGCTAAGGATTGCTGGCAGTTACTAGCAGCTAAAAGAAATAAAAGAGGGATTGACTCTTCAAACTGACACCCTGAATTTGGACTTCTAGCTCACTTACCTGAGAGAAAATAAATTTCTGGCCTTAAGTATTTGTGGTAATTTTTTTGTTTGTTTGCAGCACTATCAAACTAAGCCATTTCTCCAATAAATTAAAATAAACTGTTAAAACAAACTATAAATAATCACTGTATTTTAGAAAATGATTGATTAAGTCAATATTGAGTAAATAGTATGCCCCAGTTATTAAGCCCTTGGGATATGGAGACACTAAGATGAACTGTTTGTATTAAAGGAGCTCTCAGGGTAATGTAGGTGAAAACATACATTTTACATGTATGTTGGTTATTTAATGTATGCATTTAACATGTGTAAATACATTAAAGGAGCTCTGGTAGCAGAGTGCCTAAGGCATTTGACTACTGACCAGAAAGTTGGCAGTTCAAACCCACTAGCCACTTCGTGGAAGGAAGATTAGTCAATCTACTTCCGTAAAGATTTACCACCTTGGAAACCCAGTGAGGGTCACTCTGTGTTTACATTGCAGTAACATGTTCTTTATAAAGCAACACGGCACTGCACTACTCACAAGTGATCATCTCTACAATGCGAAGTTAGGGAAGGCTCCACATTGTGTGTTCCACAAAGTTTTATAAAAGGAAAAAAGTCTCTAAGCCCAAATGATATTAAAAGTTATATATTTTAAAGAGGAAGGGGGCACCTGTGGACACATTAATTAATGGAAGACTCCATAAAACTAAGTAAAATCTTCAATGCGAGAGGCGTAAAAAATAAAGGATTCTAAATGGTTAATAAGTTTAGATGATTGAGAACAAGCTAGTGAGTCTTGCAACTAATAGGAAATTTCCTTCAGTTCTGGTAGTATAGGGTTAAAGCATTTGGCTGCTAAGCACAAAGCTTAGCAGTTCAAACCTACTAGTCACTCCATGGGAGAAAGTTGAGGCAGTCTACTTCCATAAAGATTTACAACCTTGGAAACTCTATGGGGCAATTCTACTCTGTCCTAAAGCATTTCCGTGAGTCAGAACTGACTCGATGGCAGTAGCTTTCATCATTTGGTTTTGGTCTTTGCTATACCAGGGGTTTTATAAAAGAAACCAATTTTTAAACAAACCTAAACAAATCAGCTTAACTAGCTTCTTCACATCATTTCACACTTGATCCTTCTCTCAGGATCATGGCAGATGATTCAAAGCGGAGTTGGTTTTAAAATTTTTCCCTCACTCTAGAAAATTCAGCCTTATTTCATGGAATCAAAGTACTGATGTTATCAAGACAGACTTAAAATGTCTGTTCTTGGATTTGAGCACAAGAGGGAAGCCAAGGAAAAGCTACTTCTCCTAAGCCAGAGCCTGATACCTCATTTGTATCCAGATCTATCGCCCTAACAAGAAGACATCATTATTCCCCTCTGTATTTTATTGAAGAAGGAGTTGTAGAAAATATGAGGTGTGGGTTGGAAAAACTAAAACAAACAAACAAAAACCTCTTATCATCATTATGATATTACTTGTGTCCCTACTATAAAGAAAGCATTTTTCTATATTTTGCATATTTCAATGGTAAAATATATGGTCTAATATTTCAAGGATTTTTTTTTTTGAGAGGGACAGCTATAGGGAATTTTCCCCAATTATTATTATGTTGTTATTGTTATATTGTTATTTATGAAAGAACAACTAGACTTTTATTTTAAGAAACTATTACTATCATTTATGCTTCAAGTTCAGTACAGAAGACACCAACGTTGCTTCCATACTGAACCTAACTCACTGCCATTGAGTCGATTCTAACTCTTAACAACCCCCGTAGGATTTTTAAGGCTGTAATCTTTATGGAAGCAGATGGCCTCTTCTTTTTTCCATGGAAAGGCTGGTGAATTTAAACCACAGACCTTTTGGTTAGAAGCCAAATGCCTTAAGTGCTGCACCATTAGAACTCCAATGTAGCTTGGAGTTGTCTACAATTAGTATGCATAGTTTATATTTATCTAAATTCAGTATCATAGCTTTTGAAATCAGAAACAAACAGAATAACTACTGAATTAATTTTATAGTCATTGATTTTTTTTCTTTTCAAGTAAATTCTTCTCAATCAGTGATATATTTGCTTTGAAGTTCTTACCTGGAAGTCAAAAGCCCAAGTGCCTCCAAAGGGTGAGAAAATGTCCATGCTCTCAAAATGGTATGCATATCTGCAACAGTTCTTTCATCCCATCCAGGGGCACTACCCAGCACCAAAGGAAGGGAGCAGTTTTCATTATTGCAGTAGAAGCGATAAAACCATAAGTATCTTCTCTTTTCCTCAGAGAGTCTGCAAAACCGAATGGCAAAGTATAATTTACATAAGTTAACTGAACTAGAAAATGTTGCTATAAACACATAGTACAAGACCTTACTCTGGTTCCTTGAGGTTTATCTTATTTTATTTGGAGAACAAGTCCTTTATCTTCTTGGGACAGTTTGGTAGGGTATTTCATCAACTTATTTCCCAGTAACTTTATTCCTTTTGCAGAAAAAACAAAAACAAAAACAAAAAAAACCCACACTTTTAGTTCAGGTAATTCATCTTTATTTTTCATCCCTCTTATCCTTGTCATTTTTTCCAAAATGTCATTTTGGGTGGCAAAATCTGTCTTCTTTAGGGCAGATCAAGTTATCTGAACCCTGGAACATGAACAATTTAGAACAGATATCAACTATTTATGGTCTTACTTTCTTAAAAATTATCTCAGATCCAAGTGAACCTGTAAAAAAAATGGCTTATTTTAAAAAGATAGTATTCCTTCATCTCAAAGCAAGTTTCATGAAAGTTCAGAAAACACTTTACTCTAAATTTCAAAAACAAAGAACTCAATTTATCCCTGCATTCTTGTTTTAAACTCTCAGAGTTCACTGGAAGTTTGGGGTTAAAATGCCAGTGACTAGGACTTCCTTAAATGCGCAAGTATTTCCCCCTGGAGAGCAATCCCAAACAGAAGATCTATATTTTGAAATAGGGCCATTCACTGGCTGACAGTTTGTCCTGTTTTGCTTACACTCCAGCAGCAACATTCAGAAACACAGTTCAGATGGAGGACAGCATTTCTTATATGACAATGACAGCTTTTGAACACTGCTTCCTGCAAACTGACATTCTGTTGCTGAGCTTAAATCAGCTAAAACACCCAAGAAAGTTAATAAGAAATATTAAAATATTTAAAGGTCAATGTTTCTCAACAATGTGTTCTGAAGCTATCTTCACCTATAAAATGAAAGGATTGGATTAGAGACGATTTTTAAAGGGTTCTTAGGTTATTTTCCTATGTTTTGTCATTGCTCCCAAAAGAAAGCCCTTAGAAGACAAAAATTCCATAACAAAATTACTAAAAAAAATTTTGCCTGATTAAATTCCTTTCTCCTTAATATTGAATAATGCTTTAAAAATCTTTTTATGCAACAAAATTTATACAGAAAGAAGTGTACAGATTCATTTCAATAAATTTTGGCAAATACATAGATACGGTGAAAAACACATTCCACTCCTATCAAGATGTAAAATCATTTTCTTATGCCTGTTTCCAGTCAATCCGCATTTACACTTCCACTAGAGGCAATCAGAGGTGTGATTTCTTTCACTTTAGCTTAATATTACCTATTTTGAAATTTAAATAAATGAAATCAGAAAGTGTATTCTGTCTGCTTTTTTTTCACTCACTATGTTTTCAAAATTATCCATGTTGTTGAGTGTGTCAGTGGTTTATTTTTTATATTAACGAGTATTACTGCTTTGTATGAATTTACCATAATTTGTTTACCCTTTCTCCTATTTGATGGCTATCTGTGTTGTTTCCTGTTTTGGTATATAATGAATAAATCTTCTGTGAATATTTGTGCAAAAGTTTTTGTGTGGACATACCACATTTTTATGCAAATATCGCACAGCTGCCTTCTAGGTTTGTTTGCCAACAACACCCTACTTCTCAAGGTATTTTCCTAAGCCCTATGCTGATGTTGCTGTGTTAAAAAAAAAAAAAAAAAATTAGCATAGCATGCTTATGAAAATACTGGGGGGGGGGGCAGTTGGCAAACAAATGTAGAAGGCTTGTGTTGAGTATAAATGTGATAAATACAGTATTTTTCATTTCTCCTTGAAGAACCTAGGAGGGTGTGATAGTTGGAGCTGTGTGTCAACTTGGCTGGACCACAATTCTGTGTGGTTTAAGCTCTTGTGATGTAGTTATTCCCATGATGGGATCAGATGATTATGTTTTGAGCAGGCAATCTGTTGAAAGGGAGTTTTCCTAGGGGTGTGGCCTGCTTCCAGTATATCTATGGACATTCCGGGAAAAGAGACATTCTTCTGTGGATCGGGATTCTGTTGTGCTGCCTGCAACTGTCCGTGAGTGAACAATCCACCATTCGGCCTGGAGATCTTGGATTCATCATTCGTTGGAGTCAACAGCCGGTGTACTGCCTGCTAGCCTTGAACTCCTCAGCCCCTGTGGCTGCAAGAGTTGGGAAAAGCCTCCAGCTTGACGTTTGATCCAGGAACTTTGGACTTGCCAGCTTCTATAAGTGTGTGAGCCATTTTCCTAAGATAAATTTCTCTCTATATAAATATATATAAGATTTACTGGTTTTGTTTCTCTAGAGAACCCAGTCTAACACAGAGGGTAATGATTGGGTTGTATACCAGATATTTGTTTACTTTTTGAAGAAATTGTCAAACATTTATAAAATGGTTGTAAGATTTTATATTTTTACCAGCAGAATATGAGTTTCTCAATTATACCACATTTTGCCAGCACTTGATTTTGTCTGTGGAAATTTTTATGTGGTTTCTAAACAATATCTTCCTTTTACAAATGTCTGTTCATTTGTGTACTTTTTTTGTTTCATTATTTGAATGTTTGAATTTATTTGTAGGATTTCCTCATGTATTCATATATTCTGGATACAAATTTTTTTTGTTATACAAATATTTTGATCATATTTTCTCTCAGAATATGACTTGCCTATTAATTTTCTTCATAGTGCTTTTTGATGAATGGTTTTAAGTTTTGACTAAGTTTCATTTATAAAATTTTTATGGTTAATATGCTTTTTCTTTTTTGTTCATGATAGTTTTTTCTACCCTATCACCCATCCTGCTAAGTTTTCTTGTGAAAGCTTTATAGTTTTATATTTCACATCAGAGAGGATGATTTATCCTTATTTATTTATTTATTTTTTAGTATGGTATGAAGTATACATCACATTCTTTTTTTTCCATGTTTATATAGTTGCTGAAAAGAACTTTTCTCACATATTGTTTTGGCTATTTTGTAAAAAAAAAAATTAAAAATATATAAATGCAGGTCTATTTTGGAGTTTTTTTTCTCTTTGATTTTTTTCATTGATTTACTTGCCTATCAAGTCAATATCATATTATTTTGATTACTAAAACTTTATTCTAATTCATAAAATTAGATTTGAAAATCTTCCAGTTTTATTTTTTTCAAGAATAAAAGATTACTGTAACTTTATTGTACGTTTTGAAATCAGACTTGTAAATCCTCCAACTTTGCTATTCTTTTTTAAGATTGTTTTGCTTATTTCAATCAAATATTCATGTTTCCATGTATATATTAGAAAGGTTGGTTTTCCGAACCCACCCAGAGGCACCTCACAGATAGTCCTATCTGCTTCTGAAAGGTCAAAGCATTGAAAACTCTATGAAGTTTAGTAAGAGCATGCATATGCGGGGTAGCCATGAGTTGAAACAGCAACTAATAGCAACAACAAGATAGTGTAGATATACTGATTATTAACTATCTCCATTTTATTTAACATTTTCATTGTACCTTAATTTTGAAATAAAATTTTACTGGTTATAGAATTCTAGATTGACAAATTATATTTTTTTCATTTCAATATGTAAAAGTATTATTGTACTATCTTTTAGCCTGAATTCTTTCTGATTAGAAGTTAGCAGTTAATCTTATCATAGGTTCCTTTTGGGTAGTTTATCATGTTTTTAAGACTTTTATCTTTATTTTTAGTTTTCAGAAATTTGACTATGATGTGCCTATGGGTGTTTGTGTGTTTGCTTCAAGGTTGCTAAGTTTCTTATATCTGTGGGTTGATTTTTCTTTGATCAAATTTGTAAAATTATTGTCATTCTTTCCTTCTTCCCTCCTTCCTTCCCTCTCCCTCTTTTCCACCCTCCCTCTTCTTCTTCCTCTTTTTTTCTCCCTCCCCACATCTCTCCTCTCCTTCTCCATCCTAATGTACATATGCTATATTGCTTGATAATATACCATATGTCACGAAGTCCATCCATTATTTTCCAAACCAAACCAAACCAAACTACCTGCTATTGAGTTGATTCTGACTTATAGCGATCCTCACTGGGTTTCTGAGGCAGTAAATCTTTACGCAAGTAGTAGATTGCTCCACCTTCCTTCCTTGGAGCAGCTGGTGGGTTTGAACCTTCAGGTTAGCAAATGCCTTAGGCACTGCTCCGCCAGAGCTCCTTATTCATTACTTTCAGGATTTTTTTTTTTTTTCTATGCTTCAGCATGGCAATTTCTGTTGCTCTATCTTCAAACTTACCTACTGTTCTCCTGCATCTGCAATCAATTAAACCCATCCAAGTTTTTGTTTGTTTGTTACTGTGTTTTTCAATTTCTTAAATATCTTAAATGTTGTTGTTGTTAGGTAACATAGGGTCAGTTGTGACTAATAGTGACCCTATGTACAACAGAGCAAAATACTGCCCAGACTTATGTCATCCTCACAATCACTGCTGTATTGGGCCCATTGTTGCTCCCACTGTGTCAATCCATCTTATTGCAGGCCTTAGCCTTCTTTGTTCACCGTCCACTTTACCAAGCATGATGTCCATGATTGGTTCCTCTTAATAACATAGTCAAAGTAAATGAGATGAACTCTTGCGATTCTTGCTTCTAAGGAACATTCTGGCTCTACTTCTTCCAAGACAGATTTGTTCACTCTTCTGGCAGTCGATGATGTAATCAATATTCTTCATCAAAACCATAATTCAAAGACATCAGTTCTTATTTAGTCGTTCTTATTCATCATTCATCTTTCACTATCTGGCCAGCTGATTTGATAAAATCCATATACATGCCCATTCTAAAGAAAGATGAGCCAATGGAATGCAGACATCTTTATAATAGCCATATTAAAATATTAACTTGTAATTTTCAGGTCTGTTTCAGTAACTGCTCCTCTCTCTTACCCAGTTATGGGCTGTAACTTTCTGCTTCTTGCCATGTTTAGCAATTTTTATTATATGCATTTTTTTAATCATTTGATATTAAATATTTT